ATCATGTCGTCGACATACACCAGGATGAAGAAGCGGGTGGGAGAGGAGCGAAGGAAAAGGCTGGCATCAGACTGAGAGGCATGGAACCCCAGAGACTGCACAGTGGTGGCCAGCTTGTTGTGCCACTCGCGAGAAGCCTGCTTGAGGCCATAAACCGGGCAGCGCAGCTCCCAGACTGTGTTGGCAGGGAAGGCTGCATGAAAGCCTGGAGGCCGCCGCAAGAGGACCCGCTCCTAGAGCTCGCCTTGCAGGAAGGCGTTGGAGACATCCATGGAGGCAATCTCTATGCCAATGCGAATAGCATGGTCGAGGATGGCACCGAGAGTTGGGAGCTTGGCAGTGGGAGAGAATGTCTCCCAGTAGTCGATGCCATGGGTCTGGGTGAAGCCCTTGGCACAATACCGGGCCTTGTAGACCGGCTCCTCACCCGGCAGCTGCTTCACTCGGAACACCCAGAGGCCTTCAACAATGACGTCGTCAGGAGAGGGGACTATGTCAACGATTGAGGCATTGCGGATGAAGGCCTCGCATTCAGCAAAGATAGCCTGGATCCACTTGGCAGCATCGGGGCAGGTGATGGCCTCAAGGAAGTTGGACAGGGTGAATATGGTGGGAGCGGTAGCGATGCCAAGGATGAGGAGGCCAAGGAAGCCCGGATAGAGAGGGATGAGGGAAGGTGTTTGTTGCTGAACGCCAATGAGCTCTTCATAGGAGTCCTCAATGAAGGGAAGGGAGGGTGGGGGTGGCGTTGGCCAACCCCATGGATGGCCTATGAGTGGGCCATGAGAGCAAGTGTGGATGCGGGGGAGGATGAACGGAGAGGTGGTGCAGCGATGCCTATTGGTTGAAGAAGGCTATGAGCAGAAGATTTGACAGCTCAGAAATTTCTGCAGCACTTCGTTATGGCGCCCAGAAAACTTGCGACCTTCGAAAAGCTATATCCGGAGATTGAAATGATGAAACACTGTGAAGATCGGATATGCTGTTGCTTGCAGCATCAGTTTTCCAATGCAAGTTGAATTACTCGATTCCGTAACCTACCGAGTGAGCTATGGCATTGGGCGCACAGGGGGATAATCTACCTTAGGAGAAGTTGACAGTCTTCAGAGTCACAACCATTGAAGGTTACAAGTTCAAAGACATGATGGAAAAAACATTGAAGCACAGTTTGGAAGGTGGGGTAGGAAGAGAAGGATGAGAGGGAAGGACCCTGAAGGCCCTTGGTCAAGAATATGACAAGAGTCAATTTCTTGACTCCCCATCCTCAGGTTCAACCAGTCTGGCCAGACAAAATTCACATTGTGCCAGGTTGGCCTCCAAACTCCAAATGCTGCAGCTGCAAGGTGAGGACAAAAGTCCCACACATGCTGGTCCCTCCTCATTATAAGGCTCTCCAACCTTGGTGTAGCAGCTGCCAAGGACTTCCAATGAGTTGTAACAATCCATCAAACATTTCTTTGTAACTTCTTCATATGTGCTCCGATTCCAGCAATTCTTGGCTCGTTGGAATGTGCTCGATGTGCGCCTCCACATGTTGTTCCCTGGCACTGCCATGATTAATGAGACAATTTCGCAGTGTCCCGGCTCACAAAGCACCTCAGCCACAATAGAGTTCACCCTCGACAGTGGGGCCACTCACACGGTTCTCAAGGAAGAACACTCCTTCAAGCCATACGAGACACCAATCCGTCTACTTGGAGCAGACTCCAGTTTCACAACACATGCCAAGGGCTCCTCCACAGTTCCGTGCCCAGCCTTTTCTTCGGGCAGTGTCACCGGCATGTGTGTTCCCACACTACGCCACAATCTCGTGGCCCAACACGAGCTCCAACGGGCAGGCGTCACCACGATCTTCCCAGCACACTCGGATCACTGTGACCTCCTCGACCCTAAGTCCAACAAGCTCCTAGCACGCTTCACACTCAAGAGTAGCAAGCTCTACACGCTGCGTTCACCTGCACCTCTCGCCGCCCTCTCCCAAGCGCAAGTTGCCAGCACCACTCCGTGTTCGTGTCGCAGCTTCGCCAACCCAACCATCCTCTACCACCATCGCTTGGGTCACTCCAACTTCCGTACACTTGCCGACATCGCTTCCAAGAAACTTCTTCTTGGCCTCTCGTCGGCGCTTCTTCCACCAACAGACTCACCTGCACCCACCTGCCTGGACTGCAACAAGAGCAAGCTCAGGCAGCAGCCGCACCCTTCCTCCCCATCCGTCGCAGCTGCTCCGCTGGACCTAGCCGCACATGGATGTCTGGGGCCCAGCTCCAGTCGCATCCCGAGGCGGTCATCGGTACTTTCTGTTGGTGCATATTCATTTGCACGTCATCCTGTCGTCTGATCGCATCATTTCGTTTGCATGTGTTTTGTGTGCTACGTTGTTTGTATGGTTTGTTGGGTTTGCATGTCTTTGCATGTTCATCTTGTGCTTGTGCAGATGTGCTTGGATTGTGCATGACATCGAGCACATTCCAACGAGCCAAGAATTGTTGGAATCGGAGCACATATGAAGAAGTTACGAAGAAATGTTTGATGGATTTGTCACAACTCATTGGAAGTCCTTGTCAGCTGCTACACCAAAGTTGGAGAGCCCTATAATGAGGAGGGACCAGCATGTGTGGGACTTTTGTCCCCACCTTGCAGCTGCAGCATTTGGGGTTTGGAGGCCAACCTGGCACAGTGTGAATTTTGTCTTGCCAGGCTGGCTGAACCTGAGGATGGGGAGTCAAAACTTTGACTCTTGTCATGTTCTTGACCATGGGCCTCCAGGGTCCTTTCCTTTCATCCTTCCCTTCCTACCCCACCTTCCAACTGTGCTTCAATGCCTTTTCTATCATGCCTCTGATCTTGTAAGCTTCAATCATAGTGACTCTGAGGACTGTCAACTTCTCCTAGGGCAGATTACCCCCCAGTGCGCCAAACGCCATAGCTCGCTCGTTAAGCTACGGAATCGAGTGATTCAACTTTCAGTGGAAAGCTGACGCTGCCAGCTACAACATATTCGATTTTCAGATCGTTTCACCGATTGGAGTTTTGGATATAGCTATTCGAAGGTCGCGAGTTTTCTGGGCGTCATAACGAAGTGCTGCAGAAATTTCCAAGGAGCCATTGAATCATCTGCTTATAGCCTTCTCTAACCAACAAGTGGTATCAGAGCCTATTATCACGCATTTGGGACCTAAAATACGATGGGAGATAAGGAGGACTCTGGTGGAGGTGATACTTCAGTCCAAGGAGGCAGCTCAACCCAAGATTCTGGCATTGCAGCGCAAAGGGGAGCGCGTACAAGCCAGGGGTCACTGCTTAAGGAGGTGCTGAAGAACTTCACCATTGAGAAGTTCTCTGGAGATGGCTATGATGATTGGGCATGGAAGATGCAGCTCTACTTTCGACAAATTGGCCTCTTGAAGCTCATGATTGGAACGGAGCCAAGGCCAAAGGAAATGGCAGAGCAAGCGGACTGGGATGAACGTTCATCTGCTGGGTATTATCTATTATCACAAAGCTTGGAACTGAACCAGAGGCATCACATCATGCATCTGCTACCGGAAATTGATTGTGGGCCCAAGGCATGGGCAGTGCTCAAGGACCTGCACGCTCCGACATCGGTTGCCGCTTCTCTCATGCTGGATCGGGAGCTGTCCATGCTGCGGTTCAGTGAGAATGAACCTGTGCAGCCCGTACTGGACAAGATGAGGGAACTCTACGCGAAATTGGCGATTGCAGGCATCACGTACCCAGAGCAAACAAAGTGTCTCAAGATGCTCAGCCTGCTGCCGGAGTCTTGGCTGCAATTTATAAGCGGACTCAGCTTGCCACAAAACCAAAGTCAATGGACATTGGAGTGGATTCGCACCAAGATTCTGGAAAAAGATTTTCGTCGCTATACACTGCGCGGAGGTGATGACAGCACCAGCGGCTATGCCATGCAAGGGACATGGAGGGATCGAGGGCGTGGCAATCGCGGTCGCTCTTACCACAGCCAAGGTGGTCGCGGGACTTGGAACCAGCGGGGGCGTGGTGGCGCTGGTGCAAGAGGAAGAGGTGGTCACTCCAACAATGACAACAGTGAACCACGCTTGAGGGGAGAGTGCTGGTATTGCAAGGAAGAAGGGCATCCATGGTTTCGCTGCCCTACCAAGCCCGACTGGTGGACCCCTTGGAACCAATCGCAGAAGGGGAATGGAGGAAAGCAACCACATGGAGGTGCCAACATGGTAGCTGATCCTGCTGAAGAAACCTCCAAGGATGACAGATGAATGGGAAATGAGGAGAGGAATGCTGGACAGTTCTACCATGTGTGTGACAAAGATGACAGTGGCACAGCTGTTGCAAGGGCTGGAGAGGAATTGCACCCGCTTGACATGTGGGTCATGAACTCTGGTGCTGCATGGACAATGACACCACGCAAGGACTTGCTGGATGCTGTACGAGCGCCTCCAATCTCTGAAGTGCGCTCAGCATCCGGACATGCAGTGAAGGTCGCTGGAGTTGGTCGAGCTGCATTCAGAGCACCTGATGGTGGACTGGTTGTGCTGAAGGACGTGTAACTCGTACCGGGGCTGAAGGCCAATCTGATATCGCTGCGCAAGCTAGGCCAGGCCGGAGTCAGCACCACCACCAATGGATCCAAAACATTCAAGGGGCTGCGAGGAGATCGTGTGTTATGGGATTTACACGAAAGCAGAGATGTCTTCAGATCCATGTGGCAGATCCCTGCACTGATATGGGAATCAACAAAGAAGGAGTTGGGAGAAGTAAAGGCGGGTTCTGGAGTCCAGGGGGAGTGTAATGCAGTTAGTGCTGCAGGAGTGACGGTTTCTGCAAGGTCGGGGGAGACTGATTGGGAAACCGCACACAGGTGTCTAGGGCATGTGGCTATGCCATTGCTGCAGCAACTGCATAAGGAAGAAGCAGTAAAGGGGCTGAAGCTTTCTGGGCAACCAAATGATACCAAGTGCGAGACGTGTCTGCTGAGCAAGTTCACACGGTTCCCCTTTCACGGCGTAGCTGGGAAAAGCAAGGCAGCACTGGAACTGGTGCACATGGACCTGGTAGGACCTTTTCCAGTCCGAGGAAGTAAGGGGGAAAGGTATTTCCTGACAATAGTTGATGACTGGAGTCGGCTGATGTGGGCATACCCGTTGAAGCAGAAGGATCATGCTGCCTCAACAATACGAGATGATTGGCTGCCGTTCGTCGAGCGACAATCTGGGCACCCATGCAAGAGCATCAGAACCGACCGAGGTGGAGAGTTTCTAGGAGGAGATCTGACCGCGTGGCTCAAGAAACAAGGCATTGAGCATCAGCTAACGACGTCCTATACCCCTCAGTCAAATGGCGTTGCTGAGAGGGCTAATAGGACCATCCTGGAAACTGCGCGAGCGCTGCTGATCGAATCAGGGCTGGGGAACTCCATGTGGCCTCATGCGGCGAGGCATGCTACAGTGGCAAGGAACCGCGTACTCACAAAGGTGGCTGATGATATGTGGGTGCCGCTGGAGAGGTGGCTTGGAAAGAAGCCTCCAGTGGACATGCTTCGAGTGTTCGGATGCATGGCAGTGGCGCATGTCCCTAAACCGTACAGGACAAAGCTTGGAGCATCTGCACTTTGGTGTGTGCACCTTGGGCTTGCGGCACAGAGCAAGGGGTAGCTACTCTGGGAGCCCTCAAAGAATGTGCTGTTTGACAGTCGGGATGTCAAATTTGTGGAGAACATCATGTATGGCAAGTGGGAGAAGCAGCCGGAGGCAAGGGTCACCCAGCAGCTGGAAGAGATCACTATGCACTTCGATCTGTCCGAACCTGCGGACAGCGAAGTCACTGCGCCAACGGCAAGCGGTACTGATGAAGGAAGCAATGAGGATATTGCAGCTGATGCTGAAGTCAAGGATCCGGAGCAGCAGCAGCAAGAGGCTTCCAAAACACCAAGTCTGCCAAAGCGAAGGAAACAGATTGGTGGGGGGACAAAGGATTGGGTGAAGGTGAAAGAATGGGTAAATCCAACCATCTACCCTGCACGTACCAGAATGGCAACGAGAAAGCTGCTGAGCTCCACAAGTGGAGGAGCCACAACTGAGCAGCAGGAACAGGCTCAAGGCAAAGATGCAGTGCTGTTCTTGGGTGATGACCAAGAGTCAGATGACGAGGAGCCTGCATACTGCTTTTACGCACCAATACAACCTCCGAGCATGGATCATGCGCTAGCCGGGCCTCAACGGGGGAAGTGGCTCGTTTCAAGAGATGCAGAGTACAACAGCCAGATGGAGAATCACACATGGGACCTGGTGTACTTGCCAAATGGGAAGAAGGCAATACAGTGCAAGTGGCTGGCAAAAATCAAGACAGATGAGAAAGGAGAGCCATCAGTTTACAAGAGCAGGCTGGTGGCAAAGGGGTTTCAGCAGAAAGAGAAGGAAGATTACAAAGAAGTGTTTGCCCCAACTGCTAAGTCTCCAACGCTACGTGTGCTGCTGGCGGTAGCTGCTGTGCGCAAACGGAAGGTGAAGCAGATGGACATCGTAACCGCTTTTCTGTACGGCATTGTGGAAGAGGAGGTGTACATGGTTCAACCACCTGGCTATGAGGATGGAACCGGTCGTGTCTGCAAACTTAACAAGGCCATCTATGGCTTGAAGCAGGCCCCGAGATGCTGGTACAACAGGCTGGCCAGTGCACTAGAAGGGATTGGATTCCGTGCGAGTGCATGCGACGAGAGCCTATTCCTGATGGGAGAGGGGGAGTCACTTGTGCTTCTGCTGGTGTACGTGGATGACATCCTGCTCTTCAGCAGCAGTGACAAGGAGATCGATGGGGTGCAGCAGAAGCTCACAGAGCAGTTCAAATGCAAGTCACTTGGAGAGGCAAGGTACTACCTGGGAATGCACATTGAGCGGGATACTGAAGGTTTGCCGAATCCCTTGGGCCGCACAGAAGTTATCGAGTTTGCCATTGCGAAATTCTCCCCCGCCATCAGAATGGAGGCACTTCAGAGGAGTGCCGAACGTGACTTGAGCCTGGTGCACCCACGCCATGATAACATCAGGTGCCTCCGCCTTGGTATGTAGGAGGTGCACAGAAACATACCGCGAGTGGTCATCGACTAGTGTAAGAAAGTACCGATGACCGCCTCGGGATGCGACTGGAGCTGGGCCCCAGACATCCATGTGCACTAGGTCCAGTGGAGCAGCTGCGACGGATGGGGAGGAAGGGTGCGGCTGCTGCCCGAGCTTGCTCTTGGTGCATTCCAGGCAGGTGGGTGCAGGCGAGTCTGTTGGTGGAGGAAGCGCCGACGGGAGGCCAAGAAGAAGTTTCTTGGAAGCGATGTCGGCAAGTGTATGGAAGTTGGGGTGACCCAAGCGATGGTGGTAGAGGATGGTTGGGTTGGCGAAGCTGCGACACGAACACGGAGTGGTGCTGGCAGCTTGCGCTTGGGAGAGGGCGGCGAGAGGTGCAGGTGAACGCAGCGTGTAGAGCTTGCTACTGTTGAGTGTGAAGCGTGCTAGGAGCTTGTTGGACTTAGGGTCGAAGAGGTCACAGTGATCTGAGTGTGCTGGGAAGATCGTGGTGACGCCTGCCCGTTGGAGCTCGTGTTGGGCCACGAGATTGTGGCGTAGTGTGGGAACACGCATGCCAGTCACAATCCCCGAAGGAAAAGCTGGGCACGAAACTGTGGAGGAGCCCTTGGCGTGTGTTGTGAAACTGGAGTCTGCTCCAAGTTGACGGATTGGTGTCTCGTATGGCTTGAAGGAGTGTTCTTCCTTGAGAACCGTGTGAGTGGCCCCACTGTCGAGGGTGAAGTCTATTGTGGCTGAGGTGCTTTGTGAGCCAGGATACTACGAAATCGTCTCATTAATCATGGCAGTGCCAGGGAACAACATGTTGAGGCGCACATCAGCAGTGGGAGCTACAGCAGCCTGCACGGATTCCTGCGCTTCGACTTGATTGACCTTGCGAGGAGCACGATTGACCATCCAGCTTGGCGGCTTCGAGGCGGTCCCATTGATGGCATACCAATCGTCATCCTTTTTCTTGAAGCAGGAGGCAAGGGCGTGGTTGGTGCCGCCACATACCTGGCCGGCACGAGGGCCGCGCTTGATGACATAGGGACACGGGGGGAAGCGGTTGCGCTGGAATGGCACCGAAGCGGCATAGGATTGAGGCACGGGAGCGCGGATTGCATTGGCCTTGGCTTGAGTGCTGTTGTCTTTTTCTGCAGAAAGAAGCGCCAATTGGGTAATTGGAGATTGGGGGGATCACAATTGGGTGAGGTTGGGATTTGTGAGTACACCCCAACCTACTAGAACATTCACAACCTAAACTAGGATATAAAAGTACAAATACAAAAGTGGTATTTGCACTCTATTTCTAACACCATTACCCTCTCTCAGTCCTTCTACATCGACCAAGTCTTGCAGCGGTTCGACATGGTGCAGGCCAAGCCGGTTACCACTCCCCTGCAGACTGACCACCAGCTTGCCCCTCCTCCTGCTCCCTCTGTAAGAAATAGAGTTGAAATGATTGATTAGGTAAGGAGCCCAAGGCTCTATAAGTACATGGCAAGGTGAGAGAGAATGGATGAAGGGGGAATTGGAGGGAATCCCCATTGGGATCTCCGGAATCTCCAATTGGGTAATTGGAGATTGGGGGGATCACAATTGGGTGAGGTTGGGATTTGTAAGTACACCCCAACCCACTAGAACATTCACAACCTAAACTAGGATATAAAAGTACAAATACAAAAGTGGTATTTGCACTCTATTTCTAACACCATTACCCTCTCTCAGTCCTTCTACATCGACCAAGTCTTGCAGCGGTTCGACATGGTGCAGGCCAAGCCGGTTACCACTCCCCTGCAGACTGACCACCAGCTTGCCCCTCCTCCTGCTCCCTCTGTAAGAAATAGAGTTGAAATGATTGATTAGGTAAGGAGCCCAAGGCTCTATAAGTACATGGCAAGGTGAGAGAGAATGGATGAAGGGGGAATTGGAGGGAATCCCCATTGTGATCTCCGGAATCTCCAATTGGGTAATTGGAGATTGTGGGGATTACAATTGGGTGAGGTTGGGATTTGTGAGTACACCCCAACCCACTAGAACATTCACAACCTAAACTAGGATATAAAAGTACAAATACAAAAGTGGTATTTGCAGTCTATTTCTAACACCCTCCTCATCTGACCATCCTTACGCTGAGCTGGTCGGTTTGCTGATGTACGCTATGATGTGCACCCGCCCCGACCTTGCCTACCCCATCAGCGTTCGTGCTCGCTTCGTCGGTACCAGTCGTCACACTGATGAGTACTGGGCTGCAGCGAAGCGGGTATTCCGCTACCTCCGTGGTACCAAGGACTATGTCCTTACCCTCGGAGGCTCTTCTCCTCCCCTCCTCTTTGGCTTCAGTGACTCCTCCTGGGCTAACTCCCAGCCGGATCGCCGCTCCTCTCAAGGCTACAGCTTCACCCTTGGCAGCGGCCTCATCAGCTGGCGCTCCACTCGCTCCTCCTCCATCGCCCTCTCATCCTGCGAGGCTGAGCTCTATGCTTGCACCATGGCCGTTCTGGAGGCTCGCTGGCTCAACTTCCTCCTTGCTGAGGTCGGTGCTCCTCAGCGCTGTCCCACCCTCAGGAGCCTCCAAACACAAGGACCACAATTGTGGGGGCACCACAAGTGGGTTGCCTAAGCCACTTGTGGTCCACCATACTTGGACCACCTCCCACTTGTGGTCAACCACATTTGGAAGGATCCTCCCTCCCTTGTGATTGGTCCGAACCCCCCCTTCCCTTCCAACCTTCCTTTCCTAGCTCATCTCTCTCTTCCTATGTAATGCCTTTGCTTGATCAATAAACTCAACATTTCTGTTTCTAACATGGCATGCCTGATAGGTGTGGCTGTATGGCATGCTTCATAGGTGTGGCTGTTTGGCATGCCTAATAGGTCTGGCTGTTGGGCATGCCTGATTCGTGTGGATGTTTGGCATAGCTGAAAGACTTGGCAGTGTGGCATCCCGGATAGGTGTGGCTGTTTGGCATGTCTGAGAGGTGTGGCTGTTTGGCATAACTAATAGGGGTGGCTGTTTGGCATGCCTTATTGGTGTGGCTGTTTGGCATGCATAATAGGTGTGGCTGTTTGGGATGCCTGATGTGTGTGGCTGGTTGGCATGCCTGATAGGTGTGGCTGTATGGCATGCCTGATACGCGTGGCTGTTTGGCATGCCTGATAGGTGTGGCAGCTTCGCAAGCCTGATAGGGTGGCTGCTTCGCCTGCCTGATAGGCGTGGTTGTTTGGCATGCCTGATAGTTGTGGCTGTTTGGCATGCCTGATAGGTGTGGCTGTTAGGCATGACTGATAGGTGTGGCTGTTTGTCTTGCCTGATGAGTCTGGCTGGTTGGCATGCCTGATAGGTGTGGCTGTATGGCATGCCTGATAGGGTAGCTGCTTGGCTTGCCTGATAGGTGTGGCTGCTTGGCATGCCTGATAGGCGTGGCTGTTGGGCATACCTGATAGGTGTGGCAGCTTCGCAAGCCTGATAGGGTGGCTGCTTGGCCTGCCTGATTGGCGTGGTTGTTTGGCATGCCTGATAGTTGTGGCTGTTGGGCATGCCTGATAGTTGTGGCTGTTTGGCATGCCTGGTATGTGAGGTTGTTTTGCAGGCTTGATCGGTGTGGTTGTTTGGCATGCCTGATTGGTGTTCCAGTTCAGCATGCCTGGAAGGTGGGGCTGTTTGGCTTGCCTGATAGGTGTGGCTGTTTGGCATGCCTGATAGGGTGGCTGCTTGGCATGCCTGATAGTTGTGGCTGTTTGGCATACCTGATAGGTGTGGCTGTTTGGCATGCCTGATAGTTGTGGCTGTTTGGCATGCCTGATAGGTGTGGCTGTTTGGCATGCCTGATAGTTGTGGCTGTTTGGCATGCCTGATAGGTGTGGCTGTTTGGCATGCCTGATAGTTGTGGCTGTTCGGCATGCCTGATAGGTGTGGCTGTTTGGCATGCCTGATAGTTGTGGCTGTTTGGCATGCCTGGTATCTGTGGCTGTTTTACATGCCTGATAGGTGTGGCTGTTTTCCATGCCTGATCGGTGTGGTTGTTTGGCATGCCTGATAGGTGTTCCAGTTCGGCATGCCTAGAAGGTGTGGCTGTTTGGCTTGCCTGATAGGTGTGGCTGTTGGCCTACCTGATAGGGTGGCTGCTTGGCTTGCCTGATAGGTGTGGCTGTTTGGCATGCCTGATAGGCGTGGCTGTTTGGTATGCCTGATAGGTGTGGCTGTTAGGCATGCCTGATAGGCGTGGCTGTTTGGCATGCCTGATAGGTGTGGCTGTTTTGCATGCCTGATATGTGTGCTGTTTGGCATGTCTGATAGGTGTGGCTGTTTGGCATGCATAATAGGTGTGGCTGTTTTGCATGCCTGATCGGTGGGGTTGTTTGGCATGCCTGATACGTGTTCCAGTTCGGCATGCCTGGTAGGTGTGGCTGTTTGGCATGCCTGTTCGGTGTGGCTATTGGGCATGCCTGATAGGGGTGGCTATTTTGTAATCAATAGAATTGAAATGATTGATTAGGTAAGGAGCCCAAGGCTCTATAAGTACATGGCAAGGTGAGAGTGAATGGATGAAGGGGGAATTGGAGGGAATCCCCATTGGGATCTCCGGAATCTCCAATTGGGTAATTGGAGATTGGGGGGATCACAATTGGGTGAGGTTGGGATTTGTGAGTACACCCCAACCCACTAGAACATTCACAACCTAAACTAGGATATAAAAATACAAATACAAAAGTGGTATTTGCAGTCTATTTCTAACACACCCCCATAGACTGCAAACCCGGTCAAGGGGCACATAGCCCCATGGAACGGAGAAGGCGATGGTGGTCAGCCTTGCCGAGAGCCTTGGTAAAGAGGTCGGCGAGGTTGCAATCTGAGGCGATGTACCGTACCGTCAGCTGGTCACTCTGAACAAGATCTCGGATGAAGAAATGACGAAGTTCGATGTGCTTGGTGCGAGAGTGGAACACAGGATCCTTGGTGAGCTGAATGGCACTCTGGTTGTCACACCACAGGGTGGGCGACTGCTGGGGGTAGCCTAACTCAGCGAGGAGAAAGGAGAGCCAGCGTGCCTCTTGAGCAGCCATTGTGCCCGCGTAGAGCTCGGCCTCGCAGGACGACAGGGAGACTGCAGAGGACCGAGTGGAGTGCCAGCTGATGACTCCGCTACCAAGGGTGAAGCAGTACCCTTGGGAGGAGCGTCTGTCAGTCTGGTCATCGGCCCATGAGGAGTCTGTGTATCCCTCGAGCTTGACTGGAGAGGTACCACCAAGAGTGAGGATGTGAGACTTGGTGGCTTGTAGATAGTGGAGGACCCTCTTGGCTGCAGACCAATGCGAGGCAGTGTAGCGTCCGGAGGAGAAGTACCGAGAGAGGACACTAACCGGGTAAGCCAAGTCTGGTCGAGTGCACATCATGGCATACATGAGTGAACCGACTAGCTCAGGGTACGGGTCCTTGCAGGCGTCAGGAGAAGGAACTGGAGGGGCCGTGAGCAAATGCTGCAGTGGGAGTGGAGTGGAGACAGAGTTACTGGAGTCCATGTCGAACCGCTTGAGAAGGTTGTCGATGTAGGACTCCTGGGAGAGGGTGATCTCCATCCCTAGGTAGTTCTTGAGGTCACCAAGATCCTTCATGAGAAGGGCGGAGCTGAGAGCATACTGGACAGCTGCCATGTCGGTTGGATCTCTGGCGGCTAGAATGAAGTCGTCGACGTAGACGAGGATGTAGAAGGGCTCGGAGGAGTGACGAACGAAGAGACTGGAATCTGAGGCAGAGGGATGGAAGTCAAGTGCGAGGAGGACTTCCTTCACCTTGTTGTGCCACTCACGAGGAGCCTGCTTGAGGCCATACACTGGGCGCTTCAGCTTCCACACTGTGTTGGCAGGGTAAGTGCCAGGAAACCCCGGTGGGCGTTCCATGTGAACATCCTCCTTGAGCTGGCCTTGGAGAAAGGCGGAGGAGGCGTCCATGGACTTGATCTCGAAGTTGCCGCGAGCGGCTATATCAAGAAGAGCGCGCACAGTCGGGAGCTTGGCCGTGGGCGAGAATGTTTCGAAGAAGTCAAGATACTCCTTCTGGGTGAAACCCTTTGCCACGTATCGTGCCTTGAACAGTGGAGCTTCACCTGGGAGTTGTTTGACTCGGAAGATCCATTTTCCGCCGACGATGTTGACACCGGAAGGGGGAACAACATTGTCAAAGCTGTTGTTGCGAATGAACGCCTCGTTCTCCACATCCATTGCTGCCTTCCACTCCTTCTTATAAGGCCCCGAGAGAGCTTCCTCTTTTGTGCGAGGAGTCGGAATGGTCGGGTTCTCGGTGAAGTTGAGGGAAGGGCAGTCAGTAATGTCCGGGAAGATGTGAGAGAGAAATTGGCAGACCGCGTGAAGGTTAAACAGCTCCTCATGCCTGTCCTCCAGAAGTGCACGGGGGGGAATACGGATGGAGGGGATATCACCCCCGGCAGGAGGAGGCGGGGTTGTTAGAAACAGAAAGGTTCAGTTTATTGATGAAGGAAAGGCATTACATAGGAAGAGAGAGATGAGCTAGGAAGGGAAGGTTGGAAGGGAAGGGGGGGTTAGGACCAATCACAATGGAGGGAGGATCCTTCCAAATGTGGTTGACCACCAGTTGGAGGTGGTCCAAGTGTGGTGTACCACCAGTGGTTTAGCCAACCCACTTATGGTGCCCCCACAATTGTGGTCCTTGTGTTTGGGGGCTCCAACCACAATTGGGTTGGATTGACACCCCAACACAGGTGTACACCCAACTAGGGATGTAAACACAATATACACAACTAGCATAGCATGGTATATTCTAACACAACCCCATAGCATGCAAAGCTAGTGTATATTTAGGGTACAACCCCAGAATCAGGAAGGGGGGCGGGGCCCAAGGCCGAGAAGGCGGAGGAGGGCAGAGTGCGCGGTCTTCGGGAGGGCCTTGGTGAAGATGTCGGCCAAGTTGGCCTCTGCAGCGATCTTGCGGACCACCAAGTGACCTTGCTGGACCAACTCTCGAACGAAGAAGTAGCGGAGTTCAATGTGCTTGGATCGGCCATGGAAGACAGGGTCCTTTGTGAGATGGATGGTGCTGGCGTTGTCGCACCAGAGAGTGGGACAGCGCTGAGGAGCACCAATCTCAGCAAGGAGGAAGGTGAGCCAGCGAGCCTCCTGAGCGGCCATGGTGCAAGCATAGAGCTCAGCCTCGCAGGATGAGAGGGCGATGGAGGAGGAGCGAGTGGAGCGCCAGCAGATGAGGCTGCTGCCAAGGGTGAAGCCGTAGCCTTGAGAGGAACGGCGATACGGCTGGGAGTCAGCCCAGGAGGAGTCACTGAAGCCAGAGAGGAGGGGAGGAGAAGAGCCTCCGAGGGTGAGGACATAGTCCTTGGTACCACGGAGGTAGCGGAGGACCCGCTTCGCTGCAGACCAGTGCTCATCAGTGTGGCGACCGGTACCGACGAATCGAGCAAGAACACTGATGGGGTAGGCAAGGTCGGGGCGGGTGCACATCATAGCGTACATCAGCGAGCCGACGAGCTCAGCGTAAGGATGGTCAGAGGAGGAGGGAGCAGGAGGAGGGGCAAGCTGGTGGTCGGTCTGCAGGGGAGTGGTAACCGGCTTGGCCTGCGCCATGTCGAACCGCTGCAAGACTTGGTCGATGTAGAAGGACTGAGAGAGGGTAATGGTGCGCGATGTGCGGTCCCGGGTGATGGTCATGCCCAGATAGTGCTTGAGCTCACCCAGGTCCTTGCACTTGAGGCGCGCATGCAGGGCGTCCTTCACTTGCTGCATGGCGGCAGCATCGTCAGCGAACAGGATCATGTCGTCGACATACACCAGGATGAAGAAGCGGGTGGGAGAGGAGCGAAGGAAAAGGCTGGCATCAGACTGAGAGGCATGGAACCCCAAGGACTGCAGAGTGGCGGCCAGCTTGTTGTGCCACTCGCGAGGAGCCTGCTTGAGGCCATAAACCGGGCGGCGCAGCTCCCAGACTGTGTTGGCAGGGAAGGCTGCATGAAAGCCTGGAGGCCGCCGCAAGAGGACCCGCTCCTGGAGCTCGCCTTGCAGGAAGGCGTTGGAGACATCCATGGAGGCAATCTCCATGCCAATGCGAACAGCATAGTCGAGGATGGCACGGAGAGTTGGGAGCTTGGCAGTGGGAGAGAATGTCTCCCAGTAGTCGATGCCATGGGTCTGGGTGAAGCCCTTGGCACAATACCGGGCCTTGTAGACCGGCTCCTCACCCGGCAGCTGCTTCACTCGGAACACCCAGAGGCCTTCAACAATGACGTCGTCAGGAGAGGGGACAATGTTAACGAATGAGGCATTGCGGATGAAGGCCTCGCATTCAGCAAAGATAGCCTGGATCCACTTGGCAGCATCGGGGCAGGTGATGGCCTCAAGGAAGTTGGACGGAGTGAATCTGGTGGGAGCGGTAGCGATGCCAAGGATGAGGAGGCCAAGGAAGCCCGGGTAGAGAGGCGTGAGGGAAGGTGTTTGTTGCTGAACGCCAATGAGCTCCTCATGGGAGTCCTCAATGAAGGGAAGGGAGGGTGGGGGTGGTGTTGGCCAACCCCATGGATGGCCTATGAGTGGGCCGTAAGAGCGAGTGTGGATGCGTGGGAGGATGAACGGAGAGGTGGTGCGGCGATGCCGATGAGGTTGCTGCAGTGGCTGCTGCTGCTGCTGCTGCTGTGGCTGCTGCTGGTGCTGCTGCTGCACCTCCTGCTGCAGCTGCTGTTGCTGCAGTGCCTGCGGTTGCTGCTGCTGCTGCTGCTGCTGCTCCATCCGCTGCTGCACCTCCTGCTGCTGCTGCTGCTGCTGCTCCATCCGCTGCTGCTGCTGCACCTGCTGCTGCTGCTGCACCTGCTGCTGCTGCTGTTGCTGCTGCTGCTGCTGCTCCTTCTGCTGCTGCTGCTGCTGCTGCTGCTGCTGCTGCTGCTGCTGCTGCTGCTGCTGCTGCGATGAGGCAGAGTGAGCAGGGGAGTCAGGGACAGCTGGGTCGTAAATGTCACCTGAGGAAGGAGGAGGGGGAGGAGCAGGATTTGGAGGAAGGAGGGGAGCCTGGGGAAGGAGTGGGGGAATGACAGCATCAGCCCAGGTGAGGGGGCGGGAGAGAGGAGGAAGGGGGTCGGAAGGCGGAACAGAATGATAGAACGGGATGCTCTCATCAAACACCACGTTACGGCTCTGTAGGAGGCGGCCTGAGGACGGGTGAAGGAAGAGGTAACCAGGGGCAGAGCGAGCGTGGCCAAGGTAGACACACTCAATGGCCTTGGAGGCGAGCTTTCCTGCCTGCCGAGAGCGGTCAGGTGGGGGGATGAGGACATATGCCTTGCAACCCCAGATACAGAGAATGGCAGCATCTGGCTTGGTGCTAGCCCAGAGCTCAGTGGGAGTGACAGACTGGCGTTGAGGATGTGGGTAAAGATTAGTAAGGAGAGCAGCATGGACAAGGGCATAGCCCCAAAGAGAAGGGGGCGTGGAGGCATGAGTGAGGAGGCAGCGGGCCGTCTTGGTGATCTCACGAATGCGACTCTCAGCAACACCGTTCTGCTGAGGGGAGTGGGGAAGGGTATGAGTCTGCTGGATGCCATGGGTTGAGCAGTAGGAGGAGAGGGTGCGGTTGAGAAACTCACCACCGCCGTCGGAATGGAGGCGGCGGATGGGGCGACCAAAGTGGACTCGGCACTGCTCGGCCCAGGTAACGATGACAGCAGGGGCCTCGGCCTTCGTGTGGAGGAGGAACACCGAGGAGTACCTGCTGTGGTCGTCGACTAGGACAAGCAGGTACCGGTGCCCTTGGCGGGAAGGGGAAGGGTTAGGGCCCCAGAGGTCCATGTGGACGAGGTCAAGGGGGGCAGCAGCAAAGGAAGGATGACTGAGGTGAGGCTGTTGTTTGAGCTTTCCATGAATGCATGTGGCGCATGGGGGAGCGGAAGAGGACGGGAGGGGAGGAAGAGTGGGGGGAAGACCGTCAAGCAAGCGGGAGGAGATGGCTTTACGAAGTGTGGGAAAGTTCATATGACCAAGGCGGTGGTGGATGCGAACTGTGGGGTGGGACAGTGCGCGACAAGAGCATGGGGAGGAGGTGGAGTTGGAGGAAGGTGGCTCTAGAGGGAGGGGAGTGGGGAGAGTGGAGGTGCCTGCACGAGTGGTCACGTGGCATGAGGAGGGGCGGGGTGTGCGGAGGATGTACTGACGAGAGCGAGGGCAAAGTGGGAGGCGATGAAGGAGGCGGCGAGTGGGGCCGTGGAGGAGGTCACAGTAGGTGGCAGAGGCGGGGAAGAGGGTAGTGATGCCAGCCTGTTGGAGTTCACGAATGGAGAGCAGGTTATGACGAAGGGAGGGAATGTGGAGACCAGTGACCACTCCAGAGGGGAAGGGGGGGCAGGGGAGGATGGAGAGATGAGTGCAAGGGATGGAGAAGCTGGAATCAGCACCATGAACGTTGGTGGGGAAAGGGAGGGAGGTGAGGGTGCCGGCGTCTTTGAGGGCAGTTTCAGTGGCACCACTATCGAGAACAAAGTCAATCGTGAGCGAGGAGGGAGCTGAAGACACGGGGTACTGGAAATCACTGGCATTAAAAACAGAGGGATACATGGAAGTGGAAGCAGGGGAAGAACGCATGAGCTCGCCTAGAAAGCTGGAGTGGGAGGCGGGAGCACTAGGGGAAGGAGAGCCCCAGAGGGGAAAGCCAGGAGGACCTGGTGTGGCTGTGGCAGCCATGGCGGCGGTGCCAAAGCCAAGCTGCTGCTGCTGCCATGCAGATGCTGCGGCTGCGGCTCCTGCAGCTGCGGCTGCAGCCTGACCACCAGAGCCCCACTGCTGCTGCTGCTGCAGCAGCTGCAGCTGCTGCAGCAGCTGCAGCTGCTGGAAGCGGCGAAACTGCTGCAGCTCCTGGGGAGTTATGGGGTCAGCGACAGAGGAGGAGGAGGAGGAGAGCTGAAGATGAGAGGGGAGGAAAGACGGAAGAGTTTTGACATCCTGGAGAGAGGGGCGGGGATCCATGGCAGACCAGCGTGGGGGGGTGCCAGTGTTGCCGCGCTCGAACCAGGCGTCATCATACGCCTTGAAGCAGGTCGCGGGGGGATGGTTGGTTTGGGTGCAGCGCTCACCCGCCCTGGGACCAAAACGGCGAAGATAGGAACATGGGGGGAGAGTGCCAGGGCGGCCACCACGGCTACCAGATGAGCCACCACTGCCTCCACCACCACCACTGCTGCCACCCTCGACCCCGCCACCACCGCCGCCGGCTCCGCTGCCCCCACAACCGCCACCTCCACCCCCTCCCTGAGGGTTGGTGCGGCCGCCACGTGGGCGCCCGCCACGACGCGGCTGTGTGACTGCAAGCTGGGGGTTTTGGGACTCGGTGGAGTTCAGGCCGGAGGGGGGGGTTGAGAGAAGGCGGGCCTCAGCGTCAATGATCCATTGGACCACAGTGTCAAGGGAGGCGCGGGGCTGAGCCTCAGTGAAGGCGATGACGCGCACTTCATATTGAGGGGAGGGGCCTTCGAGGAGACGGTAGATCTGAAGGTTGGGGGGGAGAGTAGTCTGGTGAGCCTCAAGGCGGGAGGCAAGGTCCAGGAGACGGCTGGTGTAGTCAACGGCGCCAGCACTATGTTCGATCGTGATGCTAAAGTATTCCTTGAAGAGCGGTCCGACAGCATCGAAGTCGGTGCGTTCGAACATTGCCTCAAGCTCGAGCCAGATCTGGCGGGAGCCGATGCGACGTGCCTGGAAGTTGCGCATGAGCGCAGACGGGATGGCAAGGAGAAGGGCACCAGTAGCACGGCTGTCCGCCTCGAGCCAGGCGCGACGACGCTCAGCAAATCGCGCAGAGTCAGCGGCATAAGCGGCGGCGGTAGCGGCATGCTGGGTGCGGAGGGTTGCCGACCGCTCGTGTTCCTCCAACGCGATCAGGTAATCAGTATGGAGCACGAGGAAATCACGACGCTGAGTAAGGAAGAGCTGCTCAACTTCAGCGGCGGCAGCGCGAGTGCTAGTGCCAACGGGTACCATGGGGGGCGGAGGTTCCTCGCCGGGATGGGGAATGAGAGGGGGGGGATCGCCAGGGTGAGGCGGCGGGTCCCCAAGGTCACCCTCTGGGAGACCAAGCATGATGTCCAGGAGGCGGAACGGCAGGACATAAGCACTGCCGAGGACGCGGTGGAGGCTGCCGACGAAGGAATACCAGTTGGTTGCTGAGTTGTCGGCAGCGCGCACGAGATGATCGAGGGTCGAGACGTCGACGGGAGGGGGAAAGGATGCCATTGGTGACACGGAGTGGGAGGAAGGCGACGGTGGGTGGACCCGCGGTGGCCGGGAGGGAGCGACAGCGGGTGGACCCGCGGCGGCTCAAAGAGGAGGGGAGGATGGGGATGGCTGTAGATACTGCTGCTGCTGCTGCTGCTGCTGCTGCTGCTGTTGCTGCTGCTGCTCCTTCTGCTGCTGCTGCTGTTGCTGTTGCTGCTGCTGCCGCCGCTGCTGCTGCCACTGCTGCTGCTGCCGCTGTTGCTGCTGCTGCTGCTGCTGCTCCTTCAGCTGCTGATACTGCTGCTGCTGCTGCTGCTGCTGAGTCTGCTGCTCCTTCTGGTGCTGCTGCTGCTGCTGAGTCTGCTGCTCCTTCTGGTGCTGCTGCTGCTTCTGCTGCTGCTGCTCTGCTGCTGCTGCTACGGCTGCAGCAGTGGTAAGGCGGCGATGAGCAGGTGCAGGTGAGGAGGCAAAAGATGGGGAAAGATGGCAGTTAGATGATGAAAATAGGACTTGGTAGAAATTTCAGTAGCACTTCGTGATCACATCCAGGAAAGTGTGCAAACTTCGGGAAGCGATATCTGACAATCCAAGCGATGAAGCAGTCCGAAATTTTACGACGTTGTAGCTGACACCAAGAGCGTTCTTTTGCAAGTCGAATCACTCAATTCTGTCAACTATCGAGCGAGCTATGGCGTTTGGCGCATTGGGGGTTTTTGAAAATCCACCCAACAGAAAACTAGTTGAGAGGCGGCGGCTAGGAGTCTAGCAGCGGCGATGGAGGGGACGGCAAATGAGGTGCACGTCGGAAAGGGACGGGGCGGAAGCGTGGGGAAGGATCGGGATTTAAAAGTTGGCGTGAGCCATTATTGCTCTATACCATGTTAGAAACAGAAAGGTTCAGTTTATTGATGAAGGAAAGGCATTACATAGGAAGAGAGAGATGAGCTAGGAAGGGAAGGTTGGAAGGGAAGGGGGGGTTAGGACCAATCACAAGGGAGGGAGGCTCCTTCCAAATGTGGTTGACCACTAGTTGGAGGTGGTCCAAGTGTGGTGTACCACCAGTGGTTTAGCCAACCCACTTGTGGTGCCCCCACAATTGTGGTCCTTGTGTTTGGGGGCTCCAACCACAATTGGGTTGGATTGACACCCCAACACAGGTGTACACCCAACTAGGGATGTAAACACAATATACACAACTAGCATAGCATGGTATATTCTAACAGGGGTGACCGAACACCGGATGGAGAAGGCGGCTGGTCCCCAGGCGAGAGGCGGAGCCGGTCCCTTGGAACGAGTGCGACTAGAGACCGGAGACGAAGGCGGCTGCGGTGGGACCGGAGGGACTGGGCGCCTCCGATAGGAGACTGGTGAGCCGGGCTCGACGCGCGGGGAAGGCGGAGCAGGAGGAGGTGCCGCTGCGGAGGATACTGGGGAGGCTGGGTGAGAGACGCCGGACGGAGAAGGCCCAGGAGAAAGGGCAGCGGCCGGAGGTGGGGCATCGAAGTCTGCCCAAACAAGCGTCGGGGGAGGTGGAGGAGGCTCGCCCGTGGTCGCAGAGTGGAATGGGCGTGTCTCATCGAAGACGACATCACGGCTGCGAATTAGCTGTCTGGTGATTGAGTTGAGGAATAAGTAGTCTGGGGAGTCGGAGTTGTGCCCCAGGTACATGCAGGTCTGGGTTTTGGGACCAAGCTTGCCACCTTGCTTCCTGCGCGTGTGGGGGCTTAGCAACACATACGCGGTACACCCCCAGACGCGTAGAGAGCGGGCGGAAGGCGTGACCCCAAGCCAGAGAGCGGTAGGTGTGGTGTCGGGCCGGTGGGGATGCGGATAAAGATTGTAGAGGAGTGCCGCATGGAAGAGGGCATATCCCCAGAGTGACCGTGGTGCGTTGGCGTGACTGAGGAGGCAGCGAGCGATCTGAACCAAGGTGTGGTTGCGGCTCTCTGCAATGCCATTCTGCTGCGGGCTTTCGGGGAGCGTGAAGGTTTGCCGAATCCCTTGGGCCGCACAGAAGTTATCGAGTTTGCCATTGCGAAATTCTCCCCCGCCATCAGAATGGAGGCACTTGAGGGGAGTGCCGAACGTAACTTAAGCATGGCGCACCCACGCCATAATGACATCAGGTGCCTCCGCCTTGGTATGCAGGAGGTGCACAGAAACATACCGCGAGTGGTCATCGACTAGTGTAAGAAAGTACCGATGACCACCTCGGGATGCGACTGGAGCTGGGACCCTGACATCCATGTGCACTAGGTCCAGCGGAGCAGCTGCGACGGATGGGGAGGAAGGGTGCGGCTGCTGCCCGAGCTTGCTCTTGGTGCAGTCCAGGCAGGTGGGTGTAGGTGAGTCTGTTGGTGGAGGAAGCGCCGACGGGAGGCCAAGAAGAAGTTTCTTGGAAGCGATGTCAGCAAGTGTACGAAAGTTGGGGTGACCCAAGCGATGGTGGTAGAGGATGGTTGGGTTGGCGAAGCTGCGACACGAACACGGAGTGGTGCTGGCAGCTTGCGCTTGGGAGAGGGCGGCGAGAGGTGCAGGTGAACGCAGCGTGTAGAGCTTGCTACTGTCGAGTGTGAAGCGTGCTAGGAGCTTGTTGGACTTAGGGTCGAAGAGGTCACAGTGATCTGAGTGTGCTGGGAAGATCGTGGTGACGCCTGCCTGTTGGAGCTCGTGTTGGGCCACGAGATTGTGGCGTAGTGTGGGAACACACATGCCAGTCACACTGCCCGAAGGAAAAGCTGGGCACGGAACTGTGGAGGAGCCCTTGGCGTGTGTTGTGAAACTGGAGTCTGCTCCAAGTAGACGGATTGGTGTCTCGTATGGCTTGAAGGAGTGTTCTTCTTTGAGAACCGTGTGAGTGGCCCCACTGTCGAGGGTGAACTCTATTGTGACTGAGGTGCTTTGTGAGCCAGGATACTGCGAAATCGTCTCATTAATCATGGCAGTGCCAAGGAACAACATGTTGACGCGCACATCAGCAGGTGCAGCCACAGCAGCCTGCACGGATTCCTGCGCTTCGACTTGATTGACCTGTCGAGGAGCACGATTGACCATCCAGCTTGGCGGCTTGGAGGCGGTCCCATTGACGGCATACCACTCATCATCCTTTTTCTTAAAGCAGGAGGCAAGGGCGTGGTTGGTGCCGCCACACACCTGGCCAGCACGAGGGCCGCGCTTGATGACGTAGGGATACGGGGGGAAGCGGTTGCGCTGGAATGGCACCGAAGCGGCATAGGCTTGAGACACGGGAGCGCGGATTGCATTGGCCTTGGCTTGAGCGCTGTTGTCCTTTTCGGCAGAAAGGAGCGTGGATGAGACCTTGGCAAATATGAGGTCTGCAGGAGCAAGGCCCAAGAGCATCTTGCGTGTGACTTCGTATGCCGGAGTGAGGCCGACTAGGAGAGCGGCTGCAGGTGCTTGCTCGGGGAAGACTATCCCCAACTGTTTGAGTTCACCATGAATGGACTGCACCTTGGTGACATAGTCCGCCATGCCTGGCGAGTCCTCGAGCCGCACTTGGAACATGCTGGGGATGAGTATAGCAGCTCCCACTGCAGTCTTGTTCAGGAAGCGATCTTCGAGGTAGAGCCAAATGGCGTTGGCAGACGGGTAGTTGTGGTAGGTTTCGACGAGTTCGGGAGGAGTGGTGCCCATGAAGACACTAATGACCGCACCATCGGCCTTTTCCCAATTCTTGTACTTGAGAAGTGCAGCAGCATAAACTGCTTCGGCGGCGGCATTAGCTGGATCGGCGAACCTTTCGAGTTTAGGAGGCTCTTTGCCGTCACCGATGTTGAGAAGGACGTCGGTGAGCTCGAGCCCCTTCACCTCGCGACTGAGGAGGTGCTTGTCGACACCATAGCGCCAAGCCTTGTAGTTGGAGCATGTACCGTCCGGCTCGAGATGAAGGAGCGGGATCGGGTTGGCGAGTGAAGTGGTTGAGTAAGCCATTGTCGGTGTGCAGCGCGGCACTTCTGGGAATTGGTCGACGAGAATTGCTGAAAATCACTCTGACGGCTGTATAAAAATGCCGCTAAGTAGGAAATGGCGTCGGCGAAAATTCGTTAAAACGCCGACTTGAAACTGAATCTGAGCCTATGTCTAACCCCGGACCCACACACCCCCCCACCCACCCCCAGGCCCTGTCCCACAGCTACACAGCTCCGCAACCAGCTCCGCAACCAGCTCTGCAACCAGCTCCGCAACCAGCTCCGCAACCAGCTCCGTAACCAGCTCCGCTCCGCTTCAACCTGTGTACCTGCTCTTGATTTGACGCGAGACGTTCGTGGAGGCGATTTCGCGAGGGGAGTTCGCCTATTCTGGCGGGGTCTGAGGGGAAACTCGAGAACGAGTTTTAAGAGATGGTCAAAATTGAGATTCGACCAAGGAGAACCGAGGAGGAAATCGACGATGAGAAGCGCGAACGCTTCAGAGATGAGAAATTCAACGAGGTCGAGCGCGAAGGCGGTTGACGATGAGAGGCGCGATTGCAGAGTGGAGCACGTCGAAATTCCGACGACTCGAAACGAATGTCGCGACGATGAAGTGCGCGTAGCGCGGGCACGTTCAGATTAGGACCTTTATCCGCGTGTGCGGATAGGTCGCTCTGATACCATGTAAGAAATAGAGTTGAAATGATTGATTAGGTAAGGAGCCCAAGGCTCTATAAGTACATGGCAAGGTGAGAGAGAATGGATGAAGGGGCAATTGGAGGGAATCCCCATTGGGATCTCCGGAATCTCCAATTGGGTAATTGGAGATTGGGGGGATCACAATTGGGTGAGGTTGGGATTTGTGAGTACACCTCAACCCACTAGAACATTCGTAACCTAAACTAGGATATAAAAGTACAAATACAAAAGTGGTATTTGCAGTCTATTTCTAACACCCTTTACCTCATCAACTTTTAGGGGCCATAACCATTCTCCTTCCCACCAAGGGCACCGGTGCATGCTCGTCCTAGACGACGAGATGAACGTAAGGATGGTCAGAGGAGAAGGGAGCAGGAGGAGGGGCAAGCTGGTGGTCGGTCTGCAGGGGAGTGGTTACTGTCTTGGCCTGTGCCTTGTTGAATCGCTGCAAGACTTGGTCAATGTAAAAGGTCTGTGAGAGGGTAATCGTGCCCGCTGCATGGTCCCAGGTAATGGTCATGCCCAAATAGTGCTTGAGCTCATTCAGGTCCTTGCACTTGAGGTGCACATGCAAGGTGTCATTTACTTGCAGCATGGCAGCAGCAGCATCAGCGAACAGGATGATGTCGTCGACATACACCAGGATAAAAAAGCAGGTGGGAGAGGAGCGGAGGAAAATGCTGGCATCGGACTGAGAGGCATGGAACCCCAGGGACTGCAGAGTGGCGGCCAGCTTGTTTAAGGCCATAGACTGGGCGGCACAGCTCCCAGACTGTGTTGGGAGTGAAGGCTGCATGAAAGCCTCTAGGCCACCACAAGAGGACCCGCTTCTGGAGCTCGGCTTGTAGGAAAGCGTTGGAGACATCCAATAAGGCAATCTCCATGCCAATGTGGACGGCATAGTCGAGGAGCGCACGGAGAGTGGGAGCTTGGCCGTAGAAAAGAATATCTCCCAGTAGTCAATGTCATGGGTCTGGGTGAAGCCCTTGGCACAATACCGGGCCTTGTAGACCGGTTCCTCGCCCGGCAACTGCTTCACGTGGAACACCCACAAGCCTTCGACGATGGGATCGTCAGGAGAGGGGATGACATCAACAAAGGAGGCATTGAGGGTGAAGGCTTTGCATTCAGCAAAGATAGCCTGGATCCACTTGGCAGCATCGGGGCAGGTGATGGCCTCGAAGAAGTTGGATGGCGTGAATATGGTGGGAACGGTGGCGATGCCACGGATGAGGAGGCCGAGGAGGCCCGGGTAGAGAGGCATAAGTGAATGTTTTTACTGTTGGACACCAAGGAGCTCCTCATGGGAGTTCTCAATGAAGGGAAGGAATGGTGGATGTGCCACTGGCAAACCCGATGGATGGCCGATGAGTGGGCCACGAGAGCGAGTGTGGACTCGTGGGAGGATGAAAGGAGAGGTAATGAGGAGATGCCGGTAAGGCTGCTACTGCGGCTGCTGAACCTGGGTCATAGATGCCACCAGAGGATGGAGGAGAGGGTGGAGCGGGAGGCGGAGGAAGGAGGGGAGCTTGGGGAAGGAGTGGGGGAATGAAAGCATTAGCCCAAGTGAAGGGACGGGAGGGGGGAGGAAGCGGGTCGGGACTCGGAAGTCGGAATGGAATGATAAAATGGGACACTCTCATCGAACGCTGCGTGACGGCTCTTGAGGAGGCTGCCTGAGGACGGGTGAAGAAAGAGGTAATCAGGGGAAGCGCGAGCGTGGCCAAGAGTCAAGCACTTTGGAGGCAAGCTTCCCTGCCTGCCTACAGCGGTCTGGAGGGGGGGTGATGACATATGCCTTGCAGCCCTAGACGCAAAAAATAACAGCGTCAGGCTTGGTGGAGACTCAAAGCTCTTTGGGAGTGATGGACTGGCGTTGAGGGTGGGGATAAATATTGGTAAGGAGAGCAGCATGGACAAGGGCATAGCCCCAGATGGAAGGGGGGTTGGAGGCATGAGTGAGAAGATAGCGGGCCGTCTCGGTAATCTCACGGATGCGGCTCTTGGCAATACCATTCTGCTGAGGGGAGTGAGGAAGGGTGTGAGTCTGCTGGATCCCATGGGTTGAGCAATAGGAGGAGAGGGTGCGGTTGAGAAACTCACCACCGCCATCAGAATGGAGGCGGTAGATGGGGCGACCAAAGTAGACACGGCACTGTATGTATGTAGGGGCCTCGGCCTTTGTGTGGTCGTCGACGAGGACAAGTATGCACCGGTGCCCCTGTCAGGAAGCAGAAGTGTTAGGACCCTATTGGTTCATGTGAATGAGATCAAGCAAGCAGCAGCAAAAGAAGGGTGACTTAGGTAAGGTTGCTGCTTGAGTTTGCCATAAATGCATGTGGCATTTGGGGGAGCGGAAGATGACGGGAGGGGGGGAAGATTTGGGGGAAGATCTTCAAGCAAGGGAGAGGAGATGGCTTTGCGAAGTGCTGGAAAGTTCATATAAATGAGGTGATGACGAATGAGAACAGCCGGGTGAGACAGTGCGTGACAAGAGTATGGGGAGAGGTTGGAGAGGAGAGAAGGCAGGTCAGGAGGGAGGGGAAGGGGGAGAGTGGAGG